TCCATCCATCCACTCACCAATCCATCCTTCCATCAGTCTATCCACCCCTCCTTCTGACAGTCCATCCATTCATCGGTGTATTTGTCTATTCACCCATCCATCCATCCATTCATCTAATCATCTGTCCATTCATCCATCCCTCCATCCAACCATCTATCTATCCGTTCTTCCATCCATCCATTGATCCATCTATCCATCCATTCATACACCATTCCATCCAATCATATGACCACCCATCTGCCCATCTAACTGTCTGTCTATTTATCATCCCATTCATCCATCCATCCATCAACCCATCATCCATCTATCCGTCAATCTATATGTTCATCCATCTATCGGTCTACCTATGTATCAATCCATCCATTTATCCATCAATCTATCCGTCTATTTGTCTGTTCATCTATTTGTCCGGCCGGCCATCCATTCATTTATCCATCCATCTATTTGTCTGTTTATCCATCCATTCATTGATCCATATATTTGTCTGTCCATCCAACAACTCATCTGTCCGTCCGTCCATCCATCTGTGCATCCATCCATTTGTCTGTCTGTCCATCCATCCAACAACCCATCTAATCGTCTATCCATCCATCCATCCATCTGCCCGCCCATAAATCAGTCTGTCCATTCATCCATCAATCCATCCATCTCTTTGTCCATCTGTCCATCTATCCATCTGTCCATCCAGCTACCCATCCATTCATTTATCCATCAACCCATCTGACCGTCTATCTATCCATGCATTCATCCATCTGTCCATCTCCCCATCCATCTATTTGTATGTCCGTCCATCCATCCATCTATCCATCCATCCGCCCGCCCATGCATCAATCTGTCAATCCATCCATCAATTCATCCATCTATCTGTTCGTCCATCCATCCATCCATCTACCCATCCATCCATCCATCTTTTTGTTTGTCCTTTGATCCATTTGTCCTTACATTCATCCACCCATATCCATCTAACCATCCATTCACCAATCTGTCCATCCTTCTAGTTGTCTATCTGTCTGCCATCCATCTG